ACTGAAATAATATCAGTTGTCACTTGATCTAATTCACTGAATATTACAGTGACTGTTGTTGAGCACCATAACTTACATAATCAGATTTAAGAATCAACATGTGATTGTCATGCTAACCTTGATCTCCTTCGCTATAAATATCAATACACATTCTACCATTAGCAGTAATACAACCAGTTATGAAGCAAGAAAATATAATCTACAGCCACCAAATCTCCATATATACTAGTTAGAATAGAAATGATACTAATATATTGAAAAATGCAAGAAAAATGCAATAAAAGTATAAGTAGCAAAAAAGACTTCTAGTATCATATAATACCAATATGATATACATGTATACCAACAGAGTATATGATTGCTCTAAAGTATTGCTACAACTATTTGCGACTATACTACTATATCAAAACATTAAAGGATGCAATAAAAGTATGACAAAGTACATGCTCGCGTTGCAAGCTAAATATTCGCAAAGCAACTTGCTCATTTCGTATACTAACAGGGTATACAGTTGTATGGGGTTGTTCCAACAATTGCCTCTAACTATAAAAACTATTACATAATAAACATAATCTATGTCCATGGGCAAAAAAAAATTCCAGCACTGCAAATCATGTTCATATAAATAATTTCAGAATAGTAATCACTTAAAAATACAGCTAAAACAACCAAAAAAAATGTTCAAACTAACATATGATACCAATATGACATAACTATACCAACATGGTATACACACATGTATAAAGAGAAAAATAAAAAAAAATAGTGTACTACATATTAATATAATAAAGTATTTCAAGATATTGTACTATATTACTATTATTAAAAGAAAATCAAATAGTGTGCCATTTAAATGCAGCTAATACAACCAAAAAATGATTCAACTAGCATATGGTACCAATATAGTATATAACTATACTAATAGGGTATATAGTTGTACGGAGTCATTCCAACAACTGCATATAACTATAAAAACTATACATAATACACAAATCTATGCCCATAGGTACAAGAAAATCCAACACAACAAAACATGATCATATAAATTATTTCGGAATTGAATTCACTTAAAAATGCAGCTAAAACAACCAAAAAATATTTCAACTACCATATGATACCAATATGACATATAATTATACCAATAGGGTATACAGTTCTACTAATTAATTCCAGGCAACTATATATGACTATACTACTATTACATAATACACATGCATAAAGAGAAAAATCAAAAAACAGTATACCACATATTAATATAAGAATGTATTTCAAGATATTGTACTATATTACTATTATATAAAACAAACGCATAAAGAAGAAATCAAAATGATTACATAATACACATTCATAAAGGAAAATTAAAAAAATTCAAGATATTGTACTATTCTACTATTACTAAAGAAAAATCAAATAGTGCACCAATTAAATGTAGCTAATACAACCAAAAATTGTTCCAACTAACATATGATACTAGTATAGTATATAGCTATACCAACAGGGTATACAATTGTATACAAAGAGTTTAATTTTTTTTTATAATTCAATTATTAAACTGAAATAATATCAGTTGTCACATAATCTAATTAACTCAGTGAGAGCTTATGCAATGAATAATACCTCCATGGAATTCCATTCATGTTAATAAATATTATTATTTATGTATTGAAATTGTGGATAGCAATTGGACAAAAATTTAGGACAATCCTTTTGAAATTGTGGTATGTACGGCAACCGGGAGTTTCTCCGATCAACTTATTGCTCTTGTCCATTTTTCTCACTGCGAATACCCTATTTTAGTTTTATTTTTATTTTTCAAATAATTATTAGTATATGTTTCTACAGTCAAAGTACATATCATAGATGGAAAGATAGTCAAAAGTAGTGTGATTCAAGTCATAAAATAAAACAAAAAGTGAGAATAGATTTGCATTTTTCACATGCCCCTCACGTGGGGTAAAGCAAATTAAAGGGGAAATAGGAAATTGAATAGTCCGGTAATAAGTTTGTGTTGTATAGATAGGAATTATAATTTTCAAGTGGGCAACACCGGGTAATTATTTTGACGTTAATAAGCACTATGCATTATTTAGCCCAGTGAAATCCAGACGGCCAAATTCTAAAAAAATCTATTTTCTTATTTATTGAATGAAAACCCTAGAAAACAAGAAGCATTCTTCAGTCGAAGTCAAAATTTATGTACAACTATTTTAGATATACATATTATTATTCACACAAAGAAGGAAAATAAATCCAATATTAACTAACTATTGAGATGCCAAGCTAACACATCCAATATTAACTATTTTTTTATATGCATTCTAATATACACAAAGAAGAAAAATAAAATGAATTATGATATACATTAATGTATTGTACACTATGATATACAAAACAAAATTATTTTTGTATTATAGTAGCGATATACACATAAAGAAAGAAAATAAAGTTGTGTTATATACATTATTATTGTGATATACATTTATTGACTAGCTGATACCAATATCTGTAACTAAGGCTTTTTTCTGCTAATTATATGGATACATTGCCACACCAAACCAAAATCATTAATCAGTTGACGAAAGAGAGTCAAGGGGAAAATGTGTAAAGGATAGTATTACTTAACCATAGTTAGTTAAGTTAACTATAGTTTGTTACTTAGGGTTAGTTGTACAGCTGTCAATTAGTTGTAGCAGTTAGTGGAGCAACTACTTATACGTGTAACAGTGTAGCTACCAGCTCAATGAAACAGTGAAAATTTCCCAATCGCTCTTTTCTTCTTCCCTTCTTCTCATAATAGTTTCTGTAATTCACAGATTCAACATGATATTAGAGCCATCAATCTAGTGATTCTAGAGATATCTTCGTGTAATTAAAGAGGAAATCGAGAGATCGACTCTGTTTCTGTCGTTTTGACTCTGTTTTTGCGATCTTTTTCTGTGAACCCTAATTGATTTTGTTTGTGCAAATTCCATGGCAGTTGACGATGAATCGAGCAGCACAGATGTCGGATCAGGTGTGACCGGCGGCGGAGCGGTAATTCTCGATCATAATCATCCATTATATCTACATCCGTCTGATGGACCAAGATCAATGACGGTGGGTCTATTGTTAATTGGAATGGCCAATTACACAATTTGAAATCGAGCAATGAAAGTAGCATTGCTAGGGAAGAAAAAATTGTGTTTAGTTGATGGATCCACTTCCAAAGTAGATTTTGGACCAGCATTAGCACATCAATGGGACCGTTGTAATGCGATTGTGACCTCGTGGTTGATGAGCAATGTAAGTCAGCATTTGTTAACGGGAGTTCTCTTTTTTGAAAATGCACAAACAGTTTGGATTTAGCTTAAGGAACGTTTTGACAAGGTGAACGCAGCTAGACTTTACTATTTTCACAAAGAAATCTTTACTTCTACTCAAGGAGTTTCATCAGTATCAGTTTATTTTACTAAATTGACAGATATATGGCCTGAATATGACTCAATTTTGCCACCACCACCTGCTAAAGATTATATTGAACAATTGCAATTCCAACGTCTATTGCAATTTCTTATGGGACTAAATGATAGTTTTGAACAAGCTAGAAGCCAAATACTTATGATGCCTACAGTCACAACCATTAACCAAGCTTACGCAATGGTAGTTCAAGATGAAAGTGTAGGATGATGACAGGGAACAGTTTTGGAATGCGTAATCATAATAAACCTACTACTATGTTCACAACTCAAGCTAGACCCAAACAGAAGATGAATTATGAGTTGGAGTGTGATTTCTGAAAGATGAAGCGGCACACAAGAGATGGTTGCTATAAACTCATGAAGTGTGACTACTGTAACAAAACAGGATATTTGAAGGAGAATTGCTATAAGATAATTGGTTATCCTATAAACGTTAAGTCTAAGAGGAAAGTGAATACAGTACAACTACAAGGAAGCAACACACAGGATGTTGAGCATAGAGCTACAGGGGAACCATAGATTTTCACTCAGGAGCAGTATGCTCAAATTTTGCAAATGTTGAACAACTCCTCCCTTGGGGAAAAGACTAATCAGAATGTGGCAGCAGTGGCAGGTGCTCTTTTATGTTGCAATGTTAACATTCCTAAATAGATTGTGGACACAGGTGCTACAAATCATATGAAAGGGGATAAAAACTTATTGGATAATGGGATGTCAGTAGGTAATGGAGGTCAAGTACAAATGCCTACGGTAGACTCGGCTAAGGTCACACATGTTGGGGATTGTCAGTTAAAAAGAGGTGACACTATCAAGAATGTTATTTGTGTACCTTCATTTAAGTTCAATCTTTTGTCCGTGTCAAAGGTAACAAAAGACCTGAACTGCTTTGCATCTTTCCTTCCTACATTCTTTGTCTTTTAGGATATCTTCTCTGAGAAGGTGGGGGAGATTGGTAGAAAAGAGGATGGTCTATACACAATGCTTTCTGCAACTAAATAAGAGAAAAGGAGGACTTATCAAGCATTCACAGTAGTAGCAAAGGAAGCTGGGGACATTTGGCATAAAAGACTGGGGCATGTGCCTATTCAAGTCATTAGAAGAATGTCTACTTTCAATACATGTGAAGTTTTACATAAGTGTGAGATTTGTCCTTTAGCAAGGCAAACTAGCGTACCTTTTCCAGTTAGCCATAGTAGAAGTCTAAGTAGTTTTCAATTGATCCACATGGATGTATGGGGACCCTATAAGACAGCTACTCATAATGGAATGAAGTTATTTCTTACCTTAGTTGATGACTATACAAGATGGACTTGGGTATTTCTTATAAGGCTTAAATCTGATGAGATTTTTTTGCACAAGAATTTCATTACTATGATTCAGACTCAATTTGGCAAAGTAATTAAAATGTTTCGATCTGATAATGGTAGTGAATTCTTTAACACAACTTGTAGAGACATGTTTCAACATTATGGCATTTTGTACCAAAGCTCTTGTCCCTACACCCCACAACAAAATAGGGTGGTTGAAAGGAGACATAGACACATGTTGGAGACGGCCAGAGCAGTCAAATTTCAAGGCCATCTACCTACTAAATTATGGAGGGAATGTATTGAGTCAGCTGTCTACATAATCAACAAGATCCCTTCTACTGTTCTTGGTAACAAATCACCATTTGAATTACTGTACAAGAGGCAACCCTATTTTTCTCACATGAGAGTCATTGGTTGCCTTTGCTTTGCCTCAACTCTGCCTAAGTGTGATAAGTTTCAGCCCCGAGCAGTGAAGTGCGTTCTACTTGGGTATGCTGTAAATCAAAAGGGATATAGGACTTGTGAACATTGAGCACAATACTTTGTTTGTCAGCAGGGATGTGATTTTTTATGAAGATGCCTTTCCTTTCCATAATCTTGAGATTACTACTGAAAGCCTGTCCTTCAATACTGACAGTCCAACCAGGGCAGGAGATACTTTCTTACCTTGTTCTGCTCCTTCAGATGTACCTGCAACTGTGGTGAACACTCCTCCTCTTCATTGTCCTATTTCTTTTCCTGAATCTATTTTTCTGACAGACACTATCAATTCTTCATCAGACACTACATCCATGCCAACTACAGAAAAAGTTTTGCCTGTTAATGAATCCACTGTGCCCATTGCACCACAGGACATTGTCAAGAAATCCACTCAAGTATCTAAGCCACCTATATGGCTTAGTGATTATGTGAGACCAGACAAGCAAGGACAGTCCAACACTTGTATGTATCCTTTGTCTGATGTTATTGGATATGATCATATCTCCACTAAGTACCACAATTATCTTTCTCAATTTTCCAATGAGGTAAAACCAACCACTTTTCATGAAGTAGCAAAAGACAAACATTGGGTTGAGGCTATGCAGGCTAAAATCAAGGCCTTGGAAGACAACAATACCTGAGAGTTGGTTCCATTGCCACCAGGTAAGAAACCTATAGGATGCAAATGGGTTTATAAGATCAATTATAAGGCTTCTGGAGAAGTGGAGAGGTTCAGGTCAAGGCTTGTAGCTAAGAGTTTTAATAAGAAGGAAAGACTGGATTACAAGGAGACATTCTCTCTTGTAGTTAAAATGGTGACTGTTCGAAGTGTTCTTTTCTTAGCTGCTTCTAGGCATTGGATCATTCATCAAATGGATGTGTACAATGCTTTCTTACAAGTTGATCATACTGAGGAGGTCTATATGAGTCTACCACAGGATTTCAGTAAGCCTGGAGATACATCGTTGGTTTGCAGATTACATAAATCACTCTATGGTCTTAAACAAGCTTCCCGTCAATGGAATCTTAAATTGACCTCTGCTCTCATTGCCTTAGGCTTTCACCAAATCCATCTGGACTATTCTTTATTCACCAAACGACTGCATGGTCACATAGTGGTAGTTCTAGTGTGTGTTGATGACCTGCTCATCACTGGTGATAACATGTCCTTGATCCAGGATACTAAGGATGATTTGTAGCAGAATTTCAAAATCAAAGACTTTGGGGAGCTCAAGTATTTCTTGGGCATTGAGTTTGCTAGGAGTGTTGAAGGGATTTTCATGCATAAGAGGAAGTACTCACTTGAGCTTATTGTAGACTTAGGTTTGTCTCGTGCTAAACCTATAGCTTCTCCTATGGAACCTAATTTGAAGTTGACAAGCTGTGAATTTGATGGTCATATAGGCGTCATTGATGATCCACATCTTGATGATCCTGGACCGTATCAAAGGCTTCTGGGCAGGCTGCTTTATCCTGATGTCATTAGGCCAGACATTTCGTTTGCTGTTCAATGCCTTAGCCATTTTATGCACAAACCTAAAGTGTCCCACATGGACGCTGCTTTACGTGTAGTCCGATATAATAAACTTTGTCCTAGGTTGGGTATTTTGCACAAGTCTCATTGTTTTAAGTCTTTGTCAGCCTTTTGTGATGCGGATTGCGTTGAATGCCCCAATTCTATGAAGCTTGTCACATGCTATATTGTTAAATTTGGTGATTCCATATGTGATGACCCGATAGGTCATCTCATGTTTTGAAACCAAATACTGTGATTCGAAGCCTTCAAAATCATGTTTTAGCCTTCCACGATTTGCCGCGCAGTCCGGGCGTCTTTACGGAAAGCTTTTATGTTAAAACTATTAAAAATAAGAAATTTTGCCTAAAACTTCATTTCACTTAATTTCGGTCAACATTTTTGGTAAACGGATCTGAATTCGTGTTTTGACAGTTCCGGTGGGTTCTTATCGTGATTTGGGACTTCGACGTATGCCCGAAATTGAATTCTGAAGTCCCTAGCCCGAGATCGGACTTCGTCGAAATTTGAAAGTTAAAGGCTAATGAAATGGAAATGTTTGACCAAGGTTTGACGTTTTGGATATCGGGTCCGTATTTTGGTTCCGGAATCCGGTATAGGTCCAATACTATATTATGACTTGTTTGTGAAATTTAGTGAGAAACGGAGTTGGTTTGACTTGATTCGGACGTCCGATTGTGAAATTAGAAGTTTCAAAGTTTTCTTGAAAATTTCATATAATTTGGTGTTCAATTCGTAGTTCTAGGTGTTATTTTAGTGTTTTGATCGCGAGCAAGTTCGTATGATGTTTTTAGACTAGTCGGCACTTTTGGTTTAGAGCCCCGAGGCCTCGGGTGAGCTTCGGATAGGCTACGGAGTGAAAATATACTTAGAAAGATTGCTGGTGTATCTGATCTTGTTGCAGGCCTCTAATCTCGCATCTGCGAGATCAGGCATCACATTTGTGACCTCTGAGGGGTTCGCATTTGCGAGCTTCTCATCGCAAATGCGAAGAGAAGCTGGGCCACACAGGTTTCGCATTTACGAAACATCCTTCGCATTTGTGAAGTAAGTCTGGGGAGGGATTCTTCTGTCACGACTCCAGTTCACCCAGCGTGAACATGTCGTGATGCGCCTAGTCTCTACAACTAGGTAAGCCTAACAATGCGGAAACATAACTAACTTGCGGAATAATAGTCAAAACTGAAAAATTTAAAGGGGAAACAATATACAAAATGCCGCTCGGCATAAACAACTCCACATCACAGAATCCTACATTACTATCCCAAAACCCGGAAACTCACGGGAACACAAGCTAAGAGGAATACAGTAAAGTGCTCTAATCTCCAGAAACGACTACATCAATAGTACGACAGAAGGGCTAACACTATAGATAGAGTAAAGAAGGAGACTCTTCGGTCTGCGTACGCGGCAGATGTACCTCGAAATCTCCGAAATGCTCCCTGCCTCAAGGATGATGCGCCTGGGTAGAAGTACCTGGATCTGCACATGAAAAACATGCGCAGAAAGGGCATGAGTACACCACAGCGGTACTCAGTAAGTGCCAAGCCTAACCTCGGTTGGGTAGTGACGAGGAATGTTAGGGCCCTACTGAGATAAATATATATATAATTTAATGACAGGGCAATAAGTAGTAAAACTGAGAATCAATAATAAAGATCTACACAGTATAATAATAGTGCAATAACGGAAACAGAGATAAAAACAACTACAAGGAAATACCCCTCACAGCAAGATAAATAATCGGGATCGCTTGGTATCCTCAATATACACTCTAGGGATCTCTTGGTATCCCGAGGATCTCTTGGTATCCTCAATACATATGCCAAGGAACTCTTGGTATCCCGAGGATCTCTTGGTATCCTCAATACACGTGCCAGGGATCTCTTGGTATCCCGCACCTCAATCCAGACCATAATTACGCAAAGGGGATCTCCCGGGATGCCGTCCTGTAGTCCCAATTTAAAACACACAACAACAGCTCAAGGACATCAAAATAAATACAAAGTCCGTAATAAGTAAACAGTAAATTCTAGCCTAACATGCTTCACGTAATGCAATTAAGGCAGTTTAAACAAATAGGCAATTAATCCAACTAATCATACTCTTCTAAACTAACACAGACTATATTTGCATATAGAATAAAGCAAGAAAAGAACTCAGTTTAAGTACTTAAAGTAAAACCGGATTTTCAACAATTAGCTCAAGTACGCGCTCGTCACCTCACGTACAAGGCATTCAATTACCAAATATCATATCCTAAGGGGAGAGGGTCCCCCACACAAGGTTAGACAAGCCACTTACCTCGAACCGGCTCCAAAATCAACTCGAAATCACACTTTTGCCACGAGTATCCGACTCCAAATGGCCCAAATCTATTCAATAATATTACATATCGTAAATAACATCTCAAACAACTGATTCTACAATTTAATTCAAAGCTAATACGCGAAGTTATGTAAAATGACCAATATGCCCCTCAGGACAACGTCTCGGAATCGGATGAATTTAACATTTTCAGAACCCGCGTACTCTCACGAGTCTAATCATATAAAAATCTCTCAAATCGGAGGTCAAACACCCACTCAAAACTCAATAATTCGGTCTAAGAAGTTTCTTCCAATTTTTCCCAATTTTTGATCCCCAATCTGAATTTAAATGGTAAAATTACTATAGATTGATGGAATATAACTAGAAAAGATTAAAGAAACGTTACCCAATGATCTCCTCTTCAAATCCCTCTCAGAATCGCCCTCTCCCGAGCTCCAATTTGATTTTTCTAACTTTTGAAACTAAACCCTCGAATTTCATATTTCTGCCCAGAGATTTCCGCTGCTGCGGTCAAGGAACCGCATCTGCGGTCCCGCTTCTGCGGAACTCAGGTTGCATCTACGACTTTCACTAAAAGGCTAAATTTCCGCATCTGCGATCCTCTACTCGCAGATGCGGTTCCGCTTCTGCGGAAGATCCACCGCATCTGCGGAACCTGAAGAACCAACCCAAAATCCGCTTCAGCGGTCTCCTTAGCCGCATCTGCGGTCCCCAAACCGCAGATGCGAAAATACCAGAAGCAGCAAAAATCTGCAATCTCTTAACTTAAAAATCTTTCCGTCAACTATCCGAAATCATCCCGAGGCCCCCGGGACCTCAACCAAAAGCACCAATAACACTTAATACCTCATAAACTTGTACCAATCCTTAAACCACCTAAAACAACATCGAAAACTCGAATTAATCAAAGATTTAAGCCTAAGAACTCCAAATTCCCTAAAAATACGCTTTCGATAAAAAACCTAACCAAATCACGTCTGAATGACCTGAAACTTTGCACACATATCACAAATGACATAACGAAACTACTGCAACTCTCGGAATTCCATTCCGACCCTCGGATCAAAAATCTCACTATCGGACTGGAAACTTCAAAATTCCAACTTTCGGCATTTCAAGCCTAAATTAGCTACGGACCTCCAAAACACATTACGAACACGCTCCCAACCCCGAAATCACCTAACGAAGCTAATGGAACCATCGGATTTTCGTTCCGAGACCGTCTTCACACTGTTCTGACTATGGTCAGTTTTCCAACACTTAAGCTCTCATTTAGGGACTAAGTGTCCCAAAACTCTCCGAAACTCAAAACCGAACCTCCCGGCGAATCAAAACAGCAGAAATAGACTTGGGAAAAGCAGTTAATAGGGGATCGGGGCATAAATTCCAAAAACGACTGGCCGGATCGTTACATCTTCGCATTTGTGAAGACTTGGGTCGCATTTGCGATCCTCAGGTTCCACATTTGTGAACACTTTGTTCGCATTTGCGAAGGCAACAGAAGTGTGGGAGTTTCGCATTTGCGAAGCTTTTCTCGCATTTGCGGGCTTCTCATTTGCGAAGCCCAGGTTGCATTTGCGACCTCTGCAGCTGGGTAAATATGACTTAGACGGGATTTTTCTTCCATTCTTCAAATTTTCAAAACCTAAAACCTTAGAGGCGGTTTTCCAAAGAACTTTTCTTTCCCAAATCATTGTTAAGTATTTCTAAACTAGTTTCTTTCAATCTTTCAATATATTTTACAAGATTTCAACCTAAAATCCAAGGTTTTCATGGTAGAATTGGGGATTTTTGGGTAGAAACTAGGGATTTGAAAAATTGGGGATTTAGATCTCAAATTGAGGTCGGATTCTAAAACAAATTACATAACCGGACTCGGGAATAAATGGTAATCGAGTTTTGGTCCGAATTTCGGGTTTGGACCAAGCGGGCTCGGGTGTTGACTTTTTCGATAATGGCCTAAATTGAATTCTTTGCAATCGTGGGTAATTCCTAAGGCTTAATTTGAATCGTTTGATTGGTAAATTGCTAGATTCTATTGGTCCAGCGGTTTGTTTGAAGGGAAAAGCCGTGGTTGAGCTTTGAGTTTGACCGTTGGAGCAAGGTAGGTGTTGTGGTTAACCTTGGCTTGAGGAATTAGGATTTAATTGCCTATTTGCTACGTGTTTGAATGAGGGGTACAACGTGTAGGTGAGGTAACGAGTACCTATGCGTTGTTGTCGGGTTATAGTATGCGGGTAGGTCTTATCCTTATAATTGTTGCTCTCATAGATCATATTATCCATGCTTAGACTAGTTAATCGTTAAGTTGATCGTTCTTATTCTGTTTACGGACTTTTGGTTATAATTGAGTATTGATTCAAAGTTGAAGTTGGTATTGTGGAACCAAAAGTGGAAGTAAGACTTGTTCTTGTTATTTCTATCTCCCCGTTGTTATTGTTCATTGTTTTGGTGAGGGAGAGTGTTAATGCATGAAGGGTGATGCCGTGCCATATTGTGAGTGTTAGTGCACGAAGGGTGATGCCGTGCCATGTTGTGAGTGTTAATGCACGAAGGGTGATGCCGTGCCATGTTATGAGAGAGTTTATGCACGAAGGGTGACGCCGTGCCGTTTCTATTGATTCATATGGTGAGGTTGAGAGTAAAAGCACGAAGAGTGATGTCGTGCATTTTCCTTTACTGTGTTTACTTGGTCTTATTTTTTCAAGGTATATCGGTTGATCAAGTTCTTATTACTGCTATGGTTCCTTATCTTGTGATCCCCTCAGCATGTCCCCCTTCCGATATTATCTGTCTGGTTTCTTTCATTGCTGTTATTTGTACATACATTGTTATATTGTACATGTTTATTTGTAGGTGTCTTGTCATAGCCTCTTCACTACTTCGCCGAGG